TACTTGAATAACTGCAAGCTTTGGACACTTCCATTGCAAACCCTCCCCATCCCATCCTTGTACCCTGCTGACAAGCCCAAGAGGTAACAAAGGTCATGGATTGCAATGAAACCCTCCTCTCTAAGCAGCAAGCCAGTTTTTCTGGCTGCCAGCTGTTCCAGCTCACCACAGGACCTCCATGATCCCACCAGACCCACATGAGTGGAGCAGGATTCTGCCCAACCAGCTCCTGCATGGAGAGGCAGGACACGGCGCTGGCAGCCCGGTGCCTGGTGCCCAGCCTCTACAGTCACTACTGTGCCAGCAGCTCACCCTACAACAGCAGCACTTTGAAGGTGCTGGAAAAGAGGAGGCAATTTGTTGTGAGAAACATAACGTTGGAAGCCCTGACTGCTTCTGACCATTGCAGATCCTGCTGCGCTTCCTGCAAGAACAGTTCGTCTCCTGGCCAAACTCCAGTTTGTGTAAAGGTATTTACTGGGTAATTATACTTTCTTAAATTGTCCCAGCTTTTTCAATTTGCCACAGTGCTATTCACTTCCTTCCAAGATGCTGTGGAGTGTTAGTGTGCTGACAAGCAGCTGCTATGTTTCACCCAAGAAGTGACTGCATGGCAGTGGTGGGTGAGAGCCATTCCTGCGTGCTCATCATGTGCTTCCACATGGTACCAGGACTGCAAAATGCTTTGGGGTTCCTTGGTGGTAAGCAATGCTATGTAAGTGTAGAGATAATAGTCAGCTATCAAACAGCAGAATAACTCAATGCTACCTAAGTGTAGAGAACAGTCAGCTATCAAACAGCAGAATAACTCACTGCAGTGTAGCTAGGATGTTCTAGGTAAGATTTTTTTAAATTAAGTATGATCTTATTAGAAGCTTCTCCCTCTGGTAGATGAACAGAACATTATAGCTCAAAAAAAAATGAAGTGAGAACTATTATAAATTCTAGCCTGTACATTGAACACACAGCAACAGCCACAATTTGACTTATTTCAACAGTTGAAAAAGTCAGCAATACAGACAAAAGGCTGATAGCAAATGAATTATTTGGAAACCACTATCCAGGCAGATGCCTATACTGCACAATGTTCACACCCCACCTGCTCCCCACCTTCAACTCCTTGTGCACCCAGTGTGCCCAGGATCAGACTGTTTACATTAGTTTAACAAGCTAGGACTTCATCCTGCTTATCTAGCTTCTTACCCATGCCTTAAATTAAAGCACAAGGCAGTCATCCCTAATGTCCTCTACCAAACCCACAGGAATTCTGTAACATCAGGAATTTACTCCAAAGGGGAATAAAATCTCCCTTACTTTCACAGCAGGTACCCTATGAGTGTCCAGTAGATCAGTTCAGCCCCAAGGGTGCTATCACTGCAAGATCACTTGGATCACAGTTGACTTCTGAACAGAAAAATCCAGTGCCTGACACATCTCCAGGTTCACTATCTCAGCCATTCATTTCAGACCATACTTTTCCTCCACAGCTTTTTCTTGTCAGGTTGTCAAATAGAGATCAATGGAGCTCAGATCTAACAAAAAAAAAAAGAAAAAAAAAAAACCAAACCAAATCCCAAACCCTTAAACCAAAACAAAAAAAACCCAAACTAATGCTACTTTTAATTAAAAAAAAAAAAAAAAGGGTATTATTTGGTGGCCTAGCCAAGAAAGGGAGGTTCCAGCTAATAAATGAAGAGATGCTGTCTGACTGAATGAGTTATCTGTGTATTCAGACATCTTAATAAATAAAATCACTGGTAATATTCATGTCACACCACCAGACAGCAGATTACTGCTTCCCCAGACACAAACAAAATCCTGCAACGTGCCTGCTTTGGAATAGAAACAACTTGATATTAGATACAATATTCATTAGAAGGGCAAGTGCTATTAGAGCTACAAAACTGTACTCCAAATAAGCTTCTGCTATTAATTACAAATGATATCCACATTTACATAACATTATGTCTTCTTTCTCATTATTTCCTAAGCTAGACTTCAACTATGAAATCAAGGAGTTTTTTGTTTGTTTAAAATTTTGTCAGGCCTATGGCCTACGAAGCCAAATTTTATTTGGCCTGTGAAGCACTGGCAATTTTACTTTAAAGAAAATTTTATGCTCACAGACTGCAAGTAAACAGCAGAATTAATGACTGAAGTCCAAACATACCCTGGAACAGTTATAGTCTTTCTTTTTCTTCAACATCTGTCTAATTTTATCAAAACACTCAAGTACTGAAACAGTTTAACCTGTCAGATGTCTGGTTTCAGCCTGACTCACTAAGCTCAAGTGCAGCAAAACCTTGGATATTTTTACTTTTGTAAAATATAGGCCTGAGAAAAAGATGCCAATCCCACCTCTGCTATACCCATGCTTAGGTCTTTCCAATCTGCTACTTTTGTATTACTGACTTCTTGAATGACATGGGCAATGCATGGCACATAAAAGCAGAGGTGAGTCTAGGGCAGGTTTAGAGGGCAGACCTGCAGTGAAACGTGTGAGATAACCTCCAGACAAGCCCCTGGCACTTTGGCAACTGCTGGAATTTCAATCAAAACATGAAAAGCTTCCTTTCAACTCAGAAATCAGGCTAGCAGAAGTGCTAGGGATATTACTTCTTCATTCGTTTGCAGACCGCTGTAAGACGAAGGTGCCTTCAGATTGATAAAGTCAGATAATGTAGAAGATTAACAAAACCCAAGAGCATTTTGGCAACTCCAAATAATCCACTTTTCCTCACAGTTTCAACGAGCAGCTCCATGTACCAGGGACAAGTGCAGACCTCCTCCCTGTAGCACCACACAACTCCTCACGCTCCTAAGATGCAAAAGCTACCTGAAGCTCCTCTGGCACCTGGGACCCACTTTCTCTGTTAATTCCTGGGGCAGATGCCATTTACACTGGTGCATTTTCCTCCTTGCAGTTTCCCATTTTAGGAAACTTTGGGTTTTCAATGCCTATTTCTCCTACAGTTTTTCTTTCTGGCTTCTCCAATATTTTTTGAGGAGATAATAACTTTGCTTCTTTAGAAGTTAAGCAGTGAATCTCAGGACCCTACAGCAAGGCAGCACAGAGCTGACGTCCTCACAACCATTGCCTGCCACCAGCTTCTCTATCAGGATGAATTTCATAAGGTTTTTTAAGCTATTCTGGAACGTAACAACCAAAAATTCTCTGCCTCTCTTTCCTTTTCACCTACCTACCTGGTACCTCTAATGTGAAAAAAAAAAAAAAAAAAAAAGATTTTCACATTACGCAAGAGCACAGGCACAAATTTTCAGAGAAATATGGAATCAAGTGTAATTTAATTTGTCCTTCTAAAGCTTTCTCCTTCATGTGTCCATCACGGAAAAAAAAAAAAAGTTTATTTCAAACATTAGACTTGTATTAATACTAAAGCACACCAGTAGGATTTAACAGTGAAAAACCTACCAACATACTGAGAATGGGTATGGTACTACCAAATCCCCAAGCTGACAGGTGGTTTCTGTGCTAGTGAAAAAAATTTATCACTTGGTGAGACAGAAGGAGAGTTATGCCAAATATGGAGCACAATCAGTCACTTACAAAACTGAAGGATTTTCATATTCCCATAAAAATTTGCCTTAACTACACATACTACCAAAAATGTAACTTTAAAAAGTTCTGGGTTTTTTTCCCCCCCCCCCTAATGATATCTAATGCAAAGAAGTAAAAAATGTTAGAATTAAACTGACCTAAATTTAAATTAGTCTTTACTTTTACTTTGTCCTTAAGAATATACTCAATATTTGACAGGAAAGTACAGCAATGAGAGTGTATTGCCATCTTGAGGCTTGCTAGCAGAACTGCATGTCCAAACCAATACACATGTATTTGTTACATTCACTGGCACAACAGTAATTTAGCCAGATGTGCCAAAGCCATTATAAAGCAAAGATTAAAACACATGGTGTTAATGCTCTGCATTTTTATGCCAGGAGCTCTGTAGTGCCTTTTCTGGACTGGACATACTTTTAAAGAGGGAAAATCTTTAATGTTAAAACTAAGGGGAAAAAAAAAAAACACCACATGCTATTTAGCATCTTAGATCCTGTCAGAAAGAAAATGAAGAATATTCACCCCATTCTTACAAGAAAAATCTGCAGTTTAAAGCTTTATTAGGAATACAGATTTCCCAGATCCTTTGAAATTACTACTGAAATGCAGTTCATCACCAAAGACTGATTCAGGTAAAGAAATAAGACACATCATTAAAAGATTAATCCAAATTAGTGCATGGGATATTACAAAAATATAGGTACACAGTTACATATATTGCATGTCTTAATAAAGATTATGATTATAACATAGGAGCATTCATAAAGAGAACTGTTTGCTTCCCACACATAAAACATTTTGGTACTAGCTTAAAGGGGTAAGAATCACCAGTCTACATTCAAAGGTAGCAGCTATGTCAATTGTCTTTGCAAAAGCCCAACCTTTAAACAAATTACCATATCAGAAACCTATGCAACACTCTGGCATCCTCCCCACATAAAATGTACAAATATCAAATACACAACCACTTTAAAGTTTAAGTTTCTTTTTTCCTTTTAAATAAACATCTACTTCAAAAAAAGACCTCTTGGAAAACAAGTGTTTGTTAATATTCCTTCCCCTGAAATGTCATGGAATATGGTCTGTTGAATTTACAGTCCCATGGGAAGTGCCAAGTTGAAACTGAGATGTGTGTATATCTATTTGATGGGTATGTATGCTTTTACAGAGGTCAGAGACACCTGATTTAGCTTGTTTGTGAAACAGCTTACATCTATGAGGCTACTTAGAAAGGGCTACTGGTTGATTAAAACTGCTAAATCTGGTTTTCTTTTCTTTTTTTCTAAACAAACTGGCCCATACTCAAAACATACCAACAGCCTTTTGAAGGCTGTTGTTTTTACACCCACAGGTGAAGTATACTTAACTGAGCTATCCAAGGGTCTTTAAGCCAACAAGAAAAAGCCTCCCTGGAAGTTACCTGCTTGGTTTGCAGGCTGCCAGCCTGAGTACTTGGCAGCACCCAGGGGTCCCGTTGGCTTGAGGGCTGCAGCAGATGTGGAGCTGGCAGGAGCAGGTTTCACGTCTGTGTTTTCTTGGCAGGCAGGCAAGCTCCTCACTGAGGTGGCCGTAAAAGCAGCGGGCTGGGTAGTCTCCAGGGAATCACTGTTCAGAAAGGAAGGAGGAAAAACGAAAATGCATTTCTTGCTAGAGCATGATCATTTGTGAAACAGAGATGTGGAGTGACATCTCTGCACCTTGGTGCAACAGAGCAGCACCCACTACTCTGCCAGCACTGATGCTGGGGTGGTCACACCCGGACAATGCTGTGGAAGCTGTATTTTAACAACTGGGCATTTAAGTAATTTCTGCCAAAAGTCAATATAGGCAACTACATCCCTTCACAATTTCCATTAAAATTAAGTGTTGGCATGATACAGGTTAAAACAGAACCCTTATTGTACATTTGGTACACTCCCAGATTTTTGAATATTCGTTTTTCATTCTTGGAGAGTAGGCATATACTAATATAGTCAGATTATACTTGGTCACACCCAGACAATGCTGTGGAGGCTGTATTTTAAAGCTGTTTTTTAACAACTGGGCATTTAAGTAATTTCTGCCAAAAGTCAATATAGGCAACTACATCCCTTCACAATTTCCATTAAAATTAAGTGTTGGCATGATACAGGTTAAAACAGAACCCTTATTGTACATTTGGTACACTCCCAGATTTTTGAATATTTGTTTTTCATTCTTGGAGAGTAGGCATATACTAATATAGTCAGATTATACTTGTAGATCTCAATAAAAACCACCAATCTAAAAGTGACCGAATTAAATGCAGTTTTATTTTATGGACCACTGCTCCCCCAAACAATTAAGTGTTTTAAAAAAGCTGGAAACTCCTTTTTTCATTAAATAACATGCACAATATTTATAATGCCTCTTTAGAGCAGTTTACAGCTGCTTTTATATTTTAAGGGTTAACACAACTCTTTAGCTATTTAAACACATATGATTACAACTACACTTAATCACAATTCACATAGAGTGCAAATAGCCACCAATTACATTGCTAACAAGAAAAATTTTCATTTCTCATTTCCAGTGGCTGTTCAAGAATGACAAAGTTATCATAACAAATTCTTAATGCAATGTATCAGTATTTGTATAATGGGTAGTATACAATGTATGCTTTCATCTTGCCTTTGGGAAGCTGAAAACAAATATTTCTATTAAAAAATCTTCAGAGCAGAGGAGCCAACAAAGGTCATTTGCAAACTAAGAATATCACAAAAAAAAAACAAGAAATGAACTCAACATTACAAAACATAGCCAAACCAACTCCAAAGACATATTTTGTGCAATCTGGAAACTCATCAGTTAACACACTAGAAGCCTTGTATTCTTTCCTCTATTGAAAAGCAACAAATTTACAGCACATGTGCATCGTGCATATTTCACCAGGGTCATTCACAGAATTACAGATTATGCAAAGTTTGTGAAGTAAAAATCCTTGAACTATTTTTACATTAGAAGTATTTCACACGCACAACATTGCCTTAGCCATACGACATACAAGAACTTGAATGCAACACGAGGCCAAAATGCAAGTTCATAACTTTGATTTTTCTGGTCTTTAGATTTACAGGGTTAATAACTGATGTATTTAGCATCTTTTTCCAGGTAAGGTATAAAAAAAGGTTTAGAGAATATATTTAAAGTGCTTGTTTTAATGAGTAATAGCTCATTTGTATTGCATTTGTAGGTTTTTGGTAACAGCAGTAGCTGTGCTGGAGTGACCCTGATGGATTTGCTATACTCAGCATGCACAAGCCCAGGGAAGCAAAGAGACCTTGCATTCTGTTACATTCAAATGTTAAAAGATATTTGAAGGCATTTGCATGGTGCAAATGAAGGCATTTAAGGCACAGGTGAGACTCCTTAAAGGCTCAGGATACAAGTCTTTTTAACAACAGACTTAGAAGCAGCAGGGATATACTGCATAAAAGCACTGGTGCAGACTGAAATCAAAAGGACTGGAGCATGTCCTCTGACATTAAGTAGGACCTCAGTGGTTGACGATGACAAAGTAGTTTAGGATTGGATTCCACTACGAAAAAAAAAGCGTGTCTGCGACTTCCCTGTCACAGAAATGTCCTTCTGTACTCTTCAATACAATTGACACAGAACACATCAAAACCACTCCAGGTGAGAGCCCCACTACAACTATAATAATTCCTCAAAACACTCCTGGTCCTAGAAAAAGCAGCTTTCCTCCTTCTCCATCCAGAAGACTCAGCACCACTTGTCAAATCACCTTTCAAGTCCAGCACCTCTTTACTGCCTTCCTCTGGAACTTAAAATCATAAATAATATAAATCATCTATCACAACTGAGAAAATCCTGCTCAGTCAGCAGCCACCTTTAAAGATAAGAGGCTACTTAACAAGCAAAAATCGATGTAAAACAAGCAAAAAGAGTATCCTTCAGGCAGAAGGAGGACAGAAAAATATAGAAATGGTTGAGGTGTGCAGCCTTACTGCAGATAAAGGTGAGGAAGGAGACACTGGCGCACGCCCATGAGGCTAACTGTAATGTCTACTGGTTCCTCCACCAGCACCATTTTCAGGGTTTAATTCTGAGGCTTTTGAAGGATGTGAAATGCTAGGTCCTGAAGCAACAGGTTACTAGGGACATTTAAGCTTTCATTTAGAAATTAGGTGAATCCTAATGACTCCAAACTAAAAGACAATGACAAAGTCAGCTATAAAACCATCCGTGATTTATTTTTCTTCTAACACCTCTGGTGGTTTATGTGCCAGGAGCCTATGCTAGAGAGAAGCTTTCCAAAGGGAAAGCTGGAGTCCACCACTCTGACAGAGAGGATTGTGTTGATCTCGGTGCAAAACTTCCAACACTCCTTGGTCACCCTTTCTACTTCGTGTCTGGTTCTTTCTAAGTGAGAGCTGCATAAACTCAAGGCAGCAGTACAGCCTGCTAATTTAACAGGCACGCTGTTTCAGCAAATCTCTCTAGTGTGATGCTGCCCACCTACAGCGGGCTGCAGAAAAGAGTGCACACGCTGGTTTTCTTGAATTACAGCCTTTAATCAGAGTTGCCTGGGAGCACACCTGCAGCATTCTCAACAGAAAGATAGATCCATCTTTCTCACACCCATCTTTGTTTTGAAGCACCCTGGAGCTATTCAACCTTCTAAATGCTGAACTTCTTCAAATCCATGCTTCAAAATTAATTCCTCAACATTTTACTTTATGTTGAGAGTGTTGAGAAACACTCAAGCTCCAATTATTTTTATCCATCTTTACAAATATAGCTATGTATCTTTTCAGAAGGACACTTACCTTCTACAAAGTACCTGTAAAATACCCACAATTAGCTGTAGTAGTATTTTGTAACTCACTAGGATATTGTACAATGACAATCCAAGGTTCATTACCTAGAAAATACATGGTTTGAAGAGACAAAATATAGAGAAGTTCAAAAAGTTAATAGGTTCTGGAAGACAGCTTCCCATCTGCTTTTAGTGTGTTCACTATAAAAATCGAAAAAGGAATGATAAATCTTATGTATTTACCATGTTCTGCATGAGCAGCTTTCTCATGCTTCCCAGATGACACTCACAGGTCAGGTTCAGGTCAAACACATTTCAATGCCAAAACACTTGGACTGTTATTAATGACAAAGCCTACCTTCTAACTCCAGCTTTAGCCTTTTCACTCTCTTTCATAACTCTTAAATGATTCCTCCTCCACCACTTACAGCAAAAATGGAAGTTTTCCATGATGAAAACTAATGCAACCAAAAGACCACTCTGGGAGATTTGCATCCACCCCACACCTACTTCCTTTCCAAACTGAGGGGCACCAAGACAAGGTTGAACACATAGGATCATAGAATCATTTAGGTTGGAAAAGACCTTTAAGATCATCAAGTCCAACCAGTAACCTAACACTGCAAAGTCCACCACTAAACCATGTCCCTAAGTACCACATCTACGCATCTTTTAAATATCTCCAGGGATGGTGACTCAACTGGAAAATCCTTCTGAGTATTTAGCGTTTTTGACGCCCCACCCTCCTAACCCTCACACCTCAATCCCAAAATCTAAGAGAAGAAAAACACATGGTCTGGGGCTATAGATAAACCTCACTCCATCCTTTTATCGAAACTCCTATATAATGCCTAAAATTTCTTTACAAACACTTTAGAGAAGGTTGCTATTCGTCATGTTGTTATTAGCCAAAGGAGAAGCCAAAGCCAACTGAAAATGAAATACTACTTATCATCATGTAACTTCTAACACCACTAAAAGGGTAACAGAGTCCAAGTCTCCCACACTTCTCCAGGCAGATTCAAGAGGTCCGTGTGGACTTTTTCTTTATGGAAGCTCAAGATATCAGGTTATCCACCTGTAAACACCACCACTTGAGCCCCAAGCTTAGTCTGGTACATCAGTATTTTCCTAATATTTCTCTGGATTATAAAATGGTATTTTAACTCCCGCTTTTTGTCCAGAATGACTGTGTCTCTTGTGGTCTGAGGAAGCTTGCTGACAGGAGAAGTCATCTAATGTCTAAGAGACAAACTCTAAATGCTTTGTTCAGATGGCCAGGAATTCTGAGGTTATTTTCCCTTAAGAACACTCCATCATTAAAGACAAAAACAAGACCAAAAAAAAAGAAAATATGTGAATAAAATCACTCTTCCTGGTTTCTGGCATAACCAAGTGGAATATGATAGCCTTGATTCTGCTTCATGACTTCTAAAGCCAAAATAGTTTAACTAAAAAGACTTCCCTTGCATTACACATTGCTGTCTATTGAGTTGTCTGTTAACCCCAAGCAGGCATTGAGCATGTTGCAGAAACCTGAATAAATGGCTTCAAAAATATAGACACAGAGCACTGCAGGGGGAAAAAAAAAGAAGAAGAAAAACTTTTAATATGAACTTCTTGAAATATTTATATTAAAGAAACTGCAGCTTTGAAGTAAGGAAATAATGATTTTACTGCCCTAAGACCATGTAAACTGTTACAGAGATACTTCTCCAAAGCTTTACAGCAAGGTACTAGCACAGAGAAGATTAAACCCGAACTCAATTTCTTGTTTTAAGAGATGTTGTTTAAGTTGTACACATCACGTTGTTTTTTTGGCCAGTATCAAAATACATGTTAACTAACGACCTATATAGGAGACAGGAAAAGCCAGGTGTAAGAATGATGACAAAATCCCATGAATGGGAGAAATATGTATCCCTTTTTGCAAGGGTTTTCTGGTGTAAAAACAGAACAGAAGACAAATACCGAGTCCTGATCTTGTTCCCACCCCTACTGCAAACCCGTGGTCTCAGTCAGCTTTTTAAAACTGTGTTTACATTTTGTGTTAACCTAGAAGTCTTCCAGTGAGTTACAAGAAAGAAGAAAATGCAAAATAAATCAATAAAAAGGAGCAGAGAAAGTTGTGTGGGTGGAGGTATTTCCATATGAAGTTACAGCGAGGGAGCATGTGACCCTTCCATAAGCAGTGCTCTACACAGAAGTATCTGAAGCATCTTTCAGAACAGTCCTTCTCTCAAAGACAATCCCAGTGTTTACCTTAGAAGGCCACACTATCCTTTTTTCAAGTATGTGTACATGCCATAATATCAGGCAGACAAAGCAAAAGCCATGTCAACGCCCATTCTTGCTAGCATCTCCCAAAATTCCAGTGTTTTCATCGTGCAGTTTGATTTTAGGGCAGAGCTCCAATTCTTGAAAATGCAAGATATTAAATACATAATTTTCTTTGCTGCATATATGTTGTTTGTTAAGAAACAGAAACCCCCATAAAGCAAGGCTATCTCTGTTGCCATCAGGATGAACACTTAGCTTAGTGAAAGATTCCATGGCTGTTATACATACACAGAAAAAAAAAAAAAGTCCATTTCTGAGGAGTCTGATAAGAGAAGAAAATGTGCTGATGTACAACACCACTTCAGACCAATTAATAACAGATATTAGGTCAGAAAAAGGTCGAGTTCTTGGTCAGCTACCCAGTACAAAACAGTTTGACAGGTAACTTTTTGGAACAGAGATGGTGAAGTGAGAGGGATTTCTGGAGCAACTCTACTGCAAAACAAAATCAAAACCCTTGTGTTGTTATAGCTACAAATTTCTTCAAATTTTCCCCAGAAATAATGCAAATAAGCTTAAGCTCCCTTGATAAAAGAGATTCATTACCTTTTCATGAAAGTTAAACAAGATACAGACAGAAACCCCAAAGTTGTTTAAGCTTATTTGCTTGACTTTATTGACTGAGCCAGTTGTTTTTTGAAGTTATTCTACTATACAATGTCGTATGTTCATCTCTTTAGTTATGGGACATAAGATTTCCGCTCTCTTTCCTAATCAACTGTTGTGTTGTGGGATGGGATGAAGTGAGCTGCCATTAAAAATAATTTTAACAGGAGGAAAAGACCTAGTACTTCTTGCTCAACAGAAATTTCTTACATCAAGTGGATCTCAGCTCTACTTACAATTTGGCCTTATCTATAGATGGGTTTTAGTTTTGTGAAGAGGCAACTAAGTAAACAACAAACCCCCAAAATTATTCCTTTTAGATGGGTTTTAGTTTTGTGAAGATGCAAGTAAGTAAACAAACAACAAACCCCCAAAATTATTCCTTCCTTAACAAAACTTAATACATGCTCTCCTGTAAAATAAACAAATTTCTGCCTTTTATACTCAAGTCCATTAGATAAAAGCAGCTTTCCACAGTGTTAGCATAGCTTTAGTCAGGAAACTAGAACAAAAAGTCCTGTGCTCTGAACAGAGCAAGTGCTAAAACAAACAGTCTGGAGAGCAAATAAGTTTTAAAATTATTTGCAGCACCATACCAGTTTTTTGATTTTATACACTAAAAGCAAGCTTTGAAAAATAGCAACTCTTTGTTTCTGGAGCACCCTTACAGCCTAACAAATTGCTTACTGGTTCAAGGAAGCATTGCAAATAATTCACCTGGATAGAGGTTTTAAGCCAGACTATCTTGTTTCTTCTCCAGTCAGCTCCTTAGTGTGATGGTGCCTCCCTCAGAGGTCCACAGTGCAACACAAACAGCACCGTGCTTCTCAGGAGGACACCTGAGGCCAGTGAGGAAACCTTTGCTTAGTACAGTGAACTTGCAAAACTACTACTGTCAGGACCGGGGTGAAGATTAGTTCTGCAAAGAGGTGAAACCAGTAGGAATTGGGGGTTGATGACCTTGTGCCAAAGACCACAACAGGCAGACTGCTTCAGGTGTGCAGACAACAGACACAGACTTTGAAAGCAAAGCCTGTTTCTTGTGAGTCCCAAGTGCCAACCGTGCACCACACTTGGACAATACCTCTTGCTCTTTTGTAACTCCAGAGCACTCATGGACTTCCTGGAAGGCCCGATGGCCTGCAGAGGAGGCTTAGTGACAGGCGTGATGAGCAGGGCATCCAAGAGAGAGCGGTAGACACTAGGTCTGGAGAGTCTAGCAAGCATTTAAAAAGACCACGTAAACAAAACAGGTGACCAAACAAAGTTCAGTGAGAGTGGCTTGGACCACTAAAAACCGAAAAACCCTTATGAAAAGCCTGCAAGTTCTGTAGCAGTATGGAGAAACAGAAACTGGGATAACCAATGTAGAAATTATGTCTACATAAGTAGTCCCCCAAAGTGGAGGTCTCAACCTTCAGAGGGTGCACAAGGCAACTGGTGTGTGAGAAGAAACGTTTTAAATTTTATTTTCACCATTAATAAAGGAGAAAATATTTGGAAAAAAAATTTTTTCTCCTAAGCCTTTTTTAATTAAGGTTTTTGCCTATGTTTTACAATGCACATAATATATTAGTACATTAGGACATTTGTAGAATTTAGAAATATAAATAGAAAATACTTAGAAATATGTATACATATATTTCATGCTCAAAAAGTTTTTACTGATACGCATGCATGATTGATAAAACTTGAGACCACTCAGTCTAAGTAAGCCTTTATAAAAAGCAATGCATTGAAGACTTAGATGGAACTCAGAGAATTATTGTCTTCACGCATCCAAAAGTTTCTCAAAGATGCAAATTATTCTTTGTCACCCATGTAACAAAATTGTTAACTACAGTTAGTTTACTGACTGAACTGTAGAACATTTATCATGAGGATCAGGAAGGTAGAATTGCTCATCGAGGTTCAGAGCAGCAGTATAGAGCTATACTAAAAATTGGGCATCAGACCCTTGGACATATTTTAACAACTTGCCCACCATGTTATCGTGAAAGAGCTGATTTTGCAACCCTGCCAGGGACTGTTTATTCTTGTGTCAGCTTGAACTTTCTTAAACCAAGCTATAAAACGTTCCCTGTAAAGTCGATGTCTACCTGGCCCGGAGAGCAATGGCAGCAGACACGGCAGCAGCAGCCATGCTCTTGATTTTTGATCTCTGCTGGAAAGGAGAAAGAACTGGAAGAGGAGTGAGTCCAATCTCAGGCAGACTTCCCAAAGGATTTTCCACCAGTACTTTTCTAGCATAGAAGCTTTGAGCCAACAGAGGAGAAAACAGAGAAAGCAAGAAAGATTGACAGAGACACAGTACAATACCAGACTGCATTGACTGCTGGAAAGTTAAGCAATTCTAGGTTCACAGCTCACAGAGACATCAAGCAATGTATTAGCCACTTGAATACTAATGTAGAAAACAGCAATTTTTATTTCACCCACAAATAAACTCTACCTTCATCAAGTCAGCATTTAACATTTATCAGCCTTCAAATTGTCCATCCCACCCTTTGCCTCACACCCTTGGGTCATTCCCACTGAACAGGGCCCAGGGTGCTCCATGTGGATCCACCTAAGTCTCCATGGTGCTGACAGGAAGAGCCCTGAAGATCACTTAGCTTCTCTTCATTGTAATAATAAATAACAAACAGGGAAAACTTTGGAATATTTGCTGATATAACTTCAGGAGGTCTACTTTTAGCCACATTTATGAAATTTAATGTGCTCCTCACCTCCTTTTCATTTTCCCTGCTTATTGCCTGGGTTGAGAAAAAATGTGAACAGGAAAAAAGGTTGAAAATAACAGATAGGCTCCAAAATAATTTCTACAGTAGTGACTCTGTAACTCAGACTCTTATTTTTAAATTTCAGGATTATCCACAGAATTGCTGTGTATATTTTAAATCGTTTCAGACACAAACAAAACACTCCAAACATTTACACTACTATACTTTATACTTCTCATATTTAAATGTAAAAACTCTGTCCTAAAACCTGGCTTACACGTAGCAGTCTGCTGTAGAAATACCTTAAAAGATTTACCTTGTATGACTTAGAGATGCTTTAGACTGACAGCTTGAGATTTTATTGAAAGGATTTGTTTTACAAGAAGGCAGAGATGCTTCATGCCTGCCCAAAAGCAGCAAGAGAAGAAAAGTCATTAATCAAACACTTACTACACCTCTGGCAATGCTAACTAAAGCTCAGGATGAGTTTACTCAAGGCTTTTTAAAAGCCTCCCTTTACCAATTTAAAAAAAACCCAACCAAACAGGTATGGGTTTATATCTTAGAGTTTTAATTACTGAGGGAAGAACTTTCTTTTCCTGCTGGTTAACACTATGCTCAGGATGTCCCATCACTACACCAGTTAATGCCTGTATTTTCCTCCAAAAACTTCATGTTTCTGGACAGTTCAAAAACACACATTTTATAACAAGGCTAACTAACCGTTGAAAGCCACGTGAATAAAATGTGGAACGTCAAAAGATCATACATAATGTGCACTCTGCTGTGTCTTCCCAAAAAAAACTTCTTTCACACTATAAATTCATTGTGTTACCAACTTCTGACAACAAAGTCACCTTCTAACCAAATCTGCCCATGACTGGTTTCTCCACATCCATTTGGCCTTGTCACAGAATTGCAGAATGGTAAGGGTTGGAAGGGACCCCTGGAGATCATCGCGTCCATTCCCCCTGCCAAAGCAGGTTCACCTAGAGCAGGTTGCACAGGAACATGCCCAGGCAGGCTTTGAAAGTATCCAGAGAAGAAGACTCCAGAGCTTCTCTGAGCAGCCTGTTCCAGCGCAACATCTCCCTCACAGTAAAGAAGTTTCTCCTTATGTTCAGGTGGAACTTCCCACGTTCAAGTTTTTGTATGTTGCCCCTTGTCCTGTCACTGGGCATCACTGAAAAGAGACTGGCCTCATCCTACTGACGCTTTAGATAGCCCTTTAGAGATCTATAAACACTGGTAAGATCCCACTTTAATTTTTTAATTATTTTGCTAACTTTTAGCTAAAAGCTACCCAAATTTCTAATTGCTATGCAAATTTCCAGAGCAGTGTGAAGGTCAGGAGATGCCTGTAAGCTGCTCCATCTTGACATCATCATTTTAAAAAAACAACAACAACAACAACAACAACAAAACAACAAACCACCAAAACATCAAAACCCAAAAAAGTGAAACCATACGTAAAACTACAGTTTCTGATTGTGCCTTTTCAACACAGCTGGCTCAGATGTACCTGGCAGGAGTGAGAGGCAACCCAAAGGCTGTTTCCAGAGGCAGGGCTGCCGAAGCAGCGGTGGCCAGGGGGAGCTCAGAGGTCTGTGTGGCTACAGAGTGCTTTGCATGGAGAGGAGAAGCTTCATCAGCTGTCAAAAAGCTTGCTGCATCCTGAGCTGGCAATTCCGCAGTTATTGTCCTAGTTGATGTTAATTTTACAATTATAACAAGACAACATATGGAAAAGAAATCTCTCATTTGATTAAAAATACCAAACAGTAATAGACAACACACTTCTAGCTGGTGTTCCTGCACCTTTTGTAAGAAGAACAAGCGAGTAGTACACATGGGCTTTTTGTTCTTCTCTAGGAACCAAATACTCGTCCCCCAAGAGTCGGGTCATGGTAAAACTGGTTCTTTGAGGTACTCTTACAGCTGAAGCTTGAGAGCGTAGAACCAGATATGTTTAACCAAAAAAACCGAACTATTTGGGTAGTTTACAGTAATGACTCAAAGAATAGACAACAAACTTGGATGAGACCACAACCTGTATATCAGAAATTCTACCTAGGGTAAGTAGATGGCATTTTAGACACTGTGGCTACTTGGTTGCCGCTATTTAAAACCTGAACAATTGCAGAGGGATGAGGCTTCCAAAACGTTCTCAAACAAAAGTTCTCTGAGGTAAAAGAACGCAGGAGGACAAGTAGCATCCACCACAGGAAAGCAATATTTTTCCCCCCTTGATACACTTCCTCTTGCTTATCAGCAAAGCAAGACAAGCATAAAAGAACATTTTTAGTTCCGTCAGTCTGAGGCCTCCTCTTCTCCCCAGCTTGACACTCATTTGCCAATGATCAAAAATCAGGATTAATACCAACTATTTAATATGAAGTCTTTGTATTTATGACTATCAGAACAGTTGCATTAAAAGAAAAGACAAAAGTAGGTCTACGTGACTATAAAATGCATGTATATAAAAGCAATTTAAAAACATGCTGGCACTGGATCTGTTTTATATTAGTTATATATTTCTCAGGAAGTGCCAGATTCTGTGGGTTACATGGTCTAAAGTTGCCAGGGTGACTTTTTAAGATGAGTTTTTGCTGCTTTCAGGAAAGGCTGTAATTGCTCTTGTATATTTTACTGTTAAACTTAGAGAAGGATACTGCACATATGAAATTGAGTAATAATACACTATAAATTACAGTAGTTGACTGTACTGCCATATGACTAGTTTAGGCTTTCAATAAAGAACTACAACTACAATAAAAAAAGCATTATGCCTCATATTATGAAGTCTGCCTTAAGCAGTGAAGCTAACTTTAATCCAGTAATCAAATCCAGATCCTTCATACACTTCACAGCAAGCTCATTCTCCTTCTTGGTGGTTCACTAGTGGGTGGTACAAATCACAGAGCTTCAGCCAAGAAAAGAGGGAGCCTATTTGGAAAATAAAGACCTATGCCAGTCATGGACAACAAATGCAGGGTTTTAGTGGCAAAAGCAACACTACTGATGTTTGGATAGCCCCGTTCTGCTTTATGAAAAGTCTGACAGAGCACACACCGATTGCTCCATACAGATTTCTGAGTTTTAATAAAATGGCATTAAAATGCCATTTTATTAAAAAGGACTTTTAGAAATTGGCTTTGGGTGTACTTCCCACCTCAAAGAGTGTTACAAAAGCAGTGACGTCAGCTCAGTGGACAACATAACCACCAATTACAATTGCTATGCTGATGATCCCTCATTTCAGGAGAATCAAGACTTATGTAGCTTTGTCAAATAATTTATGTTCTCCTTCCCACACTCAGTGCTAATCCTTCCTTCTACAGCTCTGCAGAAGCTGCTCAGATTTCTGCCCTTCTCGAGCAGAAAATACCATTTACTTTTTTGACCATTTGTATAATACTTTGGCTCTCATCCTGAACCACCATGAATATAGCTGTCCTTTCTAATTTCCTGTGGCTCATTTTAAAGCTGCTCTCTTGATACGTTAATTTTGCCAAATCATAAACTTAAAGCCATAGGTCTTGAGTAAAAGTATATTTCATTTTTCTTTTCCTTGACACGGATCCAGCACTAGGATTTAGAAAGAGCCCTTTGGTAACCAGAACACAGTAGCTGTAGCAGCATCTGCAACCCATCTGCAACTCAATAGGTACTAAAGCCATGGGTCTTGAGTAAAAGTATATTTAATTTTTCTTTCCCTTGACACGGATCCAGCACTAGGATTACCCTTTGGTAACCAGAACACAGTAGCTGTAGCAGCATCTGCAACCCATCTGCAACTCAATAGGTACAATCATATCAGAGCTGCGTTGGTAGACACCAAAAATAAATTATTGAAATAGCACTTTTTCTCCTGCTTTTTTCAACTCCCACCACGAGTATTGCTCTACACCTTTTGTATGGAATTCTCATCTTTGGTGACTCATAAATACTCGTCCCACCTGCTTCCTGGAATTTAACAGAGCAAGCTGCTGAGACCATTGAAACCAAATCTTCTTTTCTGTATTGGCTCAGACCAAGGGCTACCATGAAGGTACTGGCCTGCTGTCCAAGCAAGCCTCCGTCATCTCCCACCATAGCTTCTGATTAATCTCATGTTAGCTCTTGAAGGTACCCTCTTCTCCTAGATGTCAAAAAAGCCTTCAAAATATACTGCAGCAAAACAGACTTGACGCTATTTTGTTGTGAGGTTTCATGTCATCTCTCTCAACTGACTGAAACTATTGCTTTAAAGGGGAGACTGTTAATCCCAAAACTTAGTATCAGATTTCTAGTTTCAGAAAGCCCACATAACTATGGGAAATAAATAGTATATTCCTGTATGCTTTTCACAAGGATGAATCTCTGTCTAGGGGCCTGGCAGGACAAGGCACTATTCATTTAGTTCTCATTTTTAAAGGAGCAGCTTTGTTTCATGTTGTAA